GAGGGACAGAATGGGATCAGGCCATCCTGGCTAAACCCCTTTCCACAACATTTATACCTAGGCGTGTTGGCCAAAGAGTACATGGGGGTGACTACAGAGCAGAAGGGCAGTGTGTGGCAAGGAAGAGGGTTGAGCAGAGCAAAAAAAAAAAATGAATGACATACAGAATAGAGGGCAGCCAGAGGAGCTGGGGGTGAAGGACAGGATTGCCAGGCAACCTGTCCATATGGATTGTCCCCAGAGGACACCAAGGCCTTCAGCTCCAGTGGGGAAAGGTTGGTGCCTCCTATCCACTATTGGTCCTCACCCAACTGAGAGTTCATTCGGCTCTCCAGATAGGAGCAATCCTAGCCATTTGGGCCTGTAGAATAGGCCAACAATTGGCAGATCTTGCAAAAATCAACAAAAACACCTGCTGAAATCATGGGTGCCTTAGAATAACTGTTTCCTTGCCCCTCTGCCTGGGTAATGGCAGCCTGAAATTTTCCATAAGAATCCATTGAGGATGTTGGACAGAAATTTTTAGAAATCAGTGGTCTTCAAAGATTTTTTAAGTTTTATTTTATTTTTAACTGATATGTAATAATTGTGCACACTTATTGGATACAGTGATGTTTTGATACATGCATACATTATGATCACTCACCTCTATTAATAAAAACCTTACATGCATTCCCAACATATATGCATTTAAATTGTATTCAACTGTGTCTATTAGTACAGTATAAAACATACCCCAAAATAAGCATTGTCAAAGGATGAGTTCAAAATTAAAGAGAAATGGAAGGTCTGACGTTTTCTTCCCCTGCTCAGCCAGTCATCAGGTACAATCCACTTTGGAGGCCACGGCCCCAAGTAGCCCCCTCATCTGTTATCCTGTTATTCCTTAAATGTGGCTGGAGGTGCCAGCCCCGTTCAACCATTCATCTTAGATGTGCCAACTTCCTACATAGCAGGAGTGTCTTTGTTACCTAGATGAATGTGTCTGAGGTGGGAAGAGGAGATGAGAAGATTAACCCTCACCTTCAAATTCAAAGTGCCCAGCCCATGCCTTCTACAACAATTCAGGGCACATGAGTGATAGCTGTGCCCTGGTACTGTGTTGGGCACCATGGGAGGCATGGTATCTGCTTTCCAGAGAACTTGATCTTCTGCTCAGGAGTGTATGCACGCAATTCAGACCCAAGGCAGCTCTGTGGGAAGAGGAACAATGGGCCATGGAAATAAGGCAGGAGAAATGGACAAGGGTGGTGCTTGAGCTGAGCTCTGAGGGTTAGGCAGAACATTGCCACACGGGAGATGGGAAAATTAATCTCCCAGCACAGGGGCTAGGTGTCTTCACATTTAAGGTGATTTAAGCCCTAAGAGACTGCCCTAATAAGTGTCCTGTCCCAAAGTTACCTTGAAACCATAGGAAAAGCATACATTCCCTTGGAATCAGGCAGAACTAGACTCTGTGTTGGTGCTTCCACTGACTGGCTGTAGACCCAGGGCAAGACTCCACTTCCCACAAATCATGGTTACCTTTTCTGAGGGCTGTTGTTAATTGCAAATGATTTATTGGGTGCACAGTAAATATGGGTTTCCCATCCAGAATGGTGCTTCAGGGATGCTGCAAGAATGAGGCCACCCCCCAGTGGCTTTTCCACCCTCAGGACCTTCTCTGGCTTGATCACTCATGATGCACCACTCCTTCTTGGCCAATTTGTATCTTCGTCCTGGCCCAGTGAGTGGTCACTTAAGTTATGGTGAAAAACACAAAGTCTGAAAGCAGATGCCCCGGTTCCAACACCTGCCATATGACTGGCAAGCCCTATGGCCCTATGCCTCTGCCTCTTTTTCCTCATCTATACTATGGAGATGCATGAATTCATTCAGGTTTTGTTTTGCACCTACTATGTACCAGGCACTAATCTGACACATAGAACAATGCCAAGAATACAGCAATGAACAAAACAGGTAAAGATTCCAGGTCTTGCCAGAATATGCACTAGATGGGCCTGGAACATCTTGTTGTGAGATATTGTTGGCTCTCAAGAGCCAACGAGAATCTCCCCTGCACCAGCCAAAGAAGAGAATCAAAAATATTATTAATAGTAAATTAATTAACCCATCACAGTTTTAAAATTCCATGGTGTGTTTTTATATATCTTATGTTATAAATTTCACCAAATTTGTAAAATTCCATGATATATTTTTAATAGTCACATTTTAAGTATGCTAGATGCATTATTCTGAAAACCCGTCTTTCATGAATGAACTGTATCTCAAAGTAACTTACTAACTCATGCAAGGATGCTTCACTTGATAGGAATGTTTCACATAATAAATGAGAAAGAAATGATACACTGTCACCATCTTGCAACCCTGGGATGAGCCAAGAGATCTGGGATATGAGCATCAATGGCTGCTCACATCACAGAATGAGGTAGAACCAGATGCCAGAAGATTCCCAACACAGTACCACCTGTGTCATGCTCCTGGAAAACAACAAGAACCAAACCAAACCTGAAGAAGGCTTAAGATCCAACTACTAGTTTTCAGGAAATACAGAGATGTGCTCAATGACATCAAGGAGATGTACCCAGGGAGAAGCAGGACAAACCACCCAATGACTTCAATATTAAGTTACAAAAAGGAAGGGGAAACCTAGGAATACAAAAAAGAAAGCAATCAAATGCAGCCTATGAATCTGTGAATCTCACGTGTTCTGATACAAACAGAACATTTTTTAAAATTCATTTATGTGTTTAAAAGATCACTTATTGAAAAAATAAAAATCATTTGTGCATTTCATGAATACAGAGTTTCAAATTGGAAAGGAAAAAGAAAACGTTCTAGAGACAGATAGTTGTGATGGGGGCACAACAATGTAAATTATACAGGGGCAATAATGCTCCTAGTCTGCACGCAGAAACATGGGCAAAATGAGAAATTTCATGTTACCTATGTTTTACCAGAATAAAAATGTGTTTATGAAACTATAAGAGAAATATGAATACTGATTACATATTGGATGATTTTAATGAATTACTATGGTTGTATTTAAAGTATCCGTATCTTTTACAGATACATATCAAGGTATTAACAGATTAAATGATAAGATAACTGTAATTTGCCACAAACTAATTCACAGTGGTGGTATCAAAAATACAAGATTAGCAAGGAATTTATTATTATAGTATGATGGTGGACGCAAGGTATTTATTATATGTTTGAAGTGCTCCATGAGACAGGTTTTTTTTTTTAAATGTGACCTCATGAAGTTTTTGTTTGATTGTGAGAAAATTAAAAAGGAAGTAAAATATATTTTGTCAGATGGAGAAAAACCGTTGTGGAGAAAAAAAATTTTTAGTCAGGAATACATGAGTTACCAGGTGAAAATAAAAATTTGGAAATATTCAGCATGTATAGATAGTTCCGACCACTGGAACTGGTTAAGTTCTTCTAGGGAATGAGTGTAGATGTAAAATAATACTGTGAATTCTGGGACTCTCTAAGATTGACAGGTGGGAGAGGGATAAGGAGAATCTAGAAAATCATTCTGAGAAGGAAAGGCCCGTGAGAAAGGAGGAAACCCATAGATGTCTGATGTCCCTGAATGCCGGACAAATATGGTACAAGCAGGAAAGGACCGCTGGGGACAAATGATGCTAAAAGCCTAGTAAACTTAGGATTGAAGCTGGACCTCCAATGGACCAACTCACCGAGTCCAATCTTGGCCAACATGGAAGTCACTGCAAATCTTGGCAGGAGTGTGTTCTGTGGAGTAGCATGGACAAGCGCCTCTATAGGGTCATCCAGGGGAGAACTGGAAGCATCAAGAACAGACAACCATCTTGAGGAGTTTTGCTGTACAGGGGACAGAAAGAAGAGTGGTAGCTGAAGGAATATATAAAGTCAAGAGAGGAATTTTTCTTAAGATGGGGAAAATCAAAGAATATCAGTAGGCTGTTGGGAATGTGATGATGAAGGGAGAGAATGGCCTGAGCAACACCCTAGACTGGGCAGGAGCAGGTGGGTCTGCTACACAAGTGCAGGACTGGCTGTCACCCAGGGTCAGAGAAGAGCAGGCAGACTGTGTCGAGTTGAGGGACTCTCACTCAAGGTGGTAGAAGGGTGGGCAGCTGCAAAAGTTCCATTCTGGTTTCTTCTGTTTCTCAGTGGAGTTGCCAGGTGAGAGCAAGAATAAGGAAGGAGGTAGAGCAGCCTGAGGAGGGAGCAGGTGTGACAGGGTCATCTGCAGTGAGTGGAGCAGAGGAGCAACTAGACCTGGAAAATAGGTATATTGTCAGAGCAATACCTCCACCTCCCCTATAAACTGCTGCAAGGATTCAATCAGATAATACATAATGCCCTTGGAATAGTGCCTGATGTAATAAACACACAATAAATATTAGCTCATTTTTTATTACTTTTCCTAAATTCTCTTGATCTTCAAGAATTGCCACTATTCTAACATCTCAGGGTTGGCTGGAGTCCCAGGTTCTCTCCACTTTATGGTTCCCGAAATGAACCCCTGGAAAACAGTTCCTTCATCTCACAGCTCTTGGGGCCTTTGCCTGCCAAGAACATCTTGCACATGCCCTGAGAAGAGCCTTTGCTGGCAGCAGACATGGCAACAGAACACTGTGTCCTGCTGAAAGGAGAGACCATTTGGATCAGGTGATTCTTGGTTGTTAGTTACAGTCTCCCCACTCAGAATTTCATCAGGACTGGGTGTGGCTCTTGGGCTCCCATTCCCAGAGGCTTTAGAATGGTGGCGCAGGTGGTACAAATACGAAATAATCACCAGCTGCAGGGTGTGCATGCTCGGGGATTCTGGGCAGGGGTCCTCTGTGGTGAGCTACCCATCATGAAGGTGGGTTAACTTATGAAGATGAAAATGAGTCACCCATATGGCAAGGAACAGGTGTGGCTAGGGAGATGTCAGGGATTGCTGGTGCAAAAATACTGAATCAGAGCCCAAAAGCTTGGGATGTGATCCTGGCTCTGCCAAGATGCATCCAATTATGTTGAACTATGTGGATTCCTTTTGTGTAAATAAGAATGAAGATGAAAATGATGATGATGATGATGATGATGATGATGATGGGCACGCTGATGACTTGACTCTGATTCTAATGAAACACAGTCCCTGTAATTCCTGAGTCTAACCTCCAAAAGGAAGAAATATTGGAAGAGGCGAGATTCCTGTGACATCTCTCTTATGTTTGCACTCCAAAGCCACTCTCCGCTCCCATCCACTTTGCTTTGTGCCCCAGGATGTGGGTCTGGGTCTGGACTTCTTCAAGGGAGTTCCTTACCACCTGATTTTAATTTGGGTCAAGCCAATGCAAAACCCCAGCTGGAGATCAAAGGCTCAGAATAGTGTTTCTTTGCCATCCTCTACTGAAGGCCACACCTTCCACGGTTTGTCATCTTTATGGTATATTCTCTCTAGGTTCTTCTGCTCTTCATGTGACAAGTAATAGCTACCCCTTGTTAGCCCCCCAGTACTTTATCATTCCTTACAGGCTTCATGAACCCCAACATCTTTATTAAACTCTCTTCAAATGCCCAGTTTGGTTGTTTCAACTGTATCATCCCAAGATTCAGACTGAGTTATCTTTTCTTGCTAGAAAAGGAAACTAGACTCTCATCTCTGAGTTGAGTGTAGGAATTAATGATAGATACTGAATAATACCTATTAAGCAGTTAAGGTGTACCAGTGCCACATAGGTTATTAAAAGTAAAAAGCAACACTTTACTGCAAAGGATTAAATATCTCCCTTGATAGTCAAGGCATATGTATATCAAAAGCCAAATGAAGTATGAGGACAATGTAGGTCATGCCAACAAAGTAATATATAGACAAGAAGCATCATGAAAGCTCAGAGAAAGGAGACAAAAGGCGGTCAAGACATGGGGTGTGGGAAGAACCTGGTCTTTAGCAACACAGACCTCAGTTCAAACCTCTACCCCTTCCCTAGCAGGGTGATTATGGTCTTCCAGAGCCACTCTGGGCATCTTGATTGCATTGATGGAAGGTAAATGTCTGCACATGCTCAGTGAAGCAAGGATCTTTCCTTCCCACTAGATGGTTTTCAATGGCTGAGCCCTGGACCACTTGCCAAGTCAATGTCCTTATGAACTGCTCTCCCCACTGCACCAGGAGGTGTAATGGAAACCAGTAATGTACTGGGTTGTAAGCTTTCCTATTAGAACACACACTTTCTCAGAATCTCCAGTTTATTCACCTAGCCCCCCAACCAAAACAATACTTCAAGCCCCATGAGGGCATAGACTTTTTCACCTTGTTCAATCAAAAACTTCTTATCCATTATAGTGGGCTTCTAACCATTCTCCCTGATTCTTTTCTTGCCTTCCTCTCATCAGCCATCAATCTCTCCCGTGCCCAGCCAAAAACAATTCTTCACACAGTGGCTTCCAAAACTGTGACTCTAAACCTGCTGCTCTGCTACTTAAGATCATACAAGGGCTCCCACTGCAACTAGAATAAAGTCCAAATCTAGAATAATGGCCATCCCTCACTATACTCCAACCACCAACCTTTCTGTACCTCCAACGTACCAAGCTAAGACCCACCCCTGGGATCTCGCAATTCTTCCCTCTTCCTGGAAGTACCTGGCTGACCCTGTGCTCTTGTGTCCTCAGAGAGGCTTTCCCTGAATTTTCACTATCACATCTCCTCTGACATTTACTACGTGACAAGTGGCTCCCCATGAAATGACCTTGTTTACTCATCACTGTCACTTGAACAATATTAGCACCAGGAGAGTTGGGCCCTGTCTGTACCATTCATCACTAGATCCCCAGGGCACAGAGCACTACTTGGGCACATAATATGGTCCCATTAAGTATTTATTGGCTGAAGGGATAGGAATCAGGTGAGCTCAAAGATGGTTTGGAGAAATAAACTGGGAACATGAAGTTTTAAGCAAAGGTCCAGGGAAAAGAAGCAAAGTTGATGCTTCACGTCACTTAGCTGACAGGGTCTGGCAGGCTGGAAACAGCTGAGTCTACAGCTAAGATAAGGGTTGGAAGTCAGACTCAGAAGCCCCTGGAATCACAGTAGAGAATACCTGGCTGGCTGCTCTCTGGAATTTAGACCTCCCACAGGGGAAGAGGAGGGCAGAATAAATATGGTTCTACAAACAGTTTGCTCTAAGAGTAAGCACAATAGTCCAATCAAGAAAAAAAAAATCCATGCATCCAAAGGCTGAAAGTTTTCTCTGATATACTGATGCTAATTCACAATGGGGGAGAGGGCTCTAGGGAAGAATAGAGTTATTTTAGATTAGGTAGAGAGAAGTGAAGGGAGGGGAGAGGGAGAGGGTAGGAAGGTCAGTAGAATGAAGCAGACATTATTACCCTATCTACATATACAACTATACGACCCTTGGGATTCCACATCATGTACAACCAGAAGAATGAGAAATTATACTCCATCTATGTATGATGTGTCAAAGTGCATTATACTGTTATGTAAAACTAATTAGAAGAAATAAAGAATTTAAAATATAAAAGAGCTCATGCAAAGATGGACCATGGCTTCCTAGCCCTCCCATCTGTAGACTGACATTCACAGCATCCAAACCACTCCCATAACTGATGAGTTCACCCGCCTACTGCAGATGGAAATGTAGAGAAGACAGCCATGCACAGGTGTGCACTCTCCAGGGGAACTGCACCTGTCATGTGCATCCAGGCACTTCTCTTTAGTCATGATCAACAAGAAGAAAAAGAAAAAGAGAGGGAGAGAGGGAAGAAGGAGAGGAAAGCTGGGGTAGATGGAACACCAACTTCATGGCCAAAGGATGGACAGAGAGAGCAGCAAGGGGATTGGGGGTGGGGAAGAGCTGGCCTCTAAGGAGTCAAGACAGGACCCAGCGGCCCCAGGAGCTGCCTTACTATCTTAGATTCCCTCCCCAATTCTCTCCCTCCTCTTTTCCTTTATCTCCTCCCATGGGTCTTATTCTCACATTCTCCTCAACCCCTCTCCATTTCCTTTCCTTCCATCTTTTCTCTCACTGCCAACCATTACCCCCTCCCTGTCTTTGTCCCATCTTTGGGCTGTTGTGGAATATGGACAACAGGTGCAGACCTATAAGGGTTTGCCTTTGGCTCTGCCAGTTAGCAGCTGAGCAATGTATGTGAGTTATGTGGCTTTCAGGTTCCAGTTTGCGGGTCCGTAGAAGGAGAAACCAACACCTCATAGCATTCTTCCGATGAGTCTAAAGGCCATGTCTGCTTCAGATGCAAAGCTCTGAATTTGTTGTCTTATTTAGAGTTTTCTACTCTGTGGCACTATGTGTATTCATTTTCTAAGACTACCATGACAAATTACCACAAACTGGTGACTTGAAACAAGAGAAATGTGTTCTCTCACAATTTTGGAAGCTAGAAATGGAAAATCAGAGAACTGACAGGGTTAGTTTCCTCTGGAGTCAGAGAACGCTTGTTCTGGGCCTCTCTTCTGGCTTCTGCTGGTGGCTGGCAGTTCTTGGTGTTCTTTGGCTTGTAGCCACATGACTCCAATCTCTGTCTCTGTCATCACATGGCCTCCTTTCCTCTGTGTTTCTGTGTCCAAATTTTTATAAGGACACCAGTCATTGGATTCCTTAATTCTACATGACCTCATCCTAACTTCATTACATCTGCAAAAGACCTAATTTTCAAACAGAGTTGCATTTATATGTACTGGAGGTTAGGACATGAACGTTTCATTTTGTGAAGGACAAAATTTAACCCACAACCCTGTCATTACATTTTGTACCCACTCAACAAAAGATACGGGAAGTACAAATAGATTAAGCAGAAGGAAACACCATAATAAGAGAAAATGCTATATTGGGAAGGAGATCTGACCCTTAAACCCTCAGCAGCCACACAGGTAGAAGCAAGAAACTGGGCTTCAGGAGTAAGATGGAAGGAGGTTGAACCTCAGCTCCATCATTTACTTATGTGAGCCTTAAACTTTCCAAGGAATCACAAACCCCTCCCAGAAAAATGCTCACACACATCACATGAGCTTATCATGGATCTCAAACACCTGAGACTCACAAGAAGAAACCCTAACCTCATGCTTTATGGCACAAACCACATTACTTAGCCTCCTTGAGCCTCAGTTTCTGCCCTGACATGACAGGAAGGTGGCACTTACCTTCAGGCTGTTGAGAAGGTCTGTAGGAACCAGAGCACTGAACTCCCTCGTGCTTCTGCATGGGCTTGGCTTCCAGAGGCCTCAGTGATGCTCACAGAATTCTCTTATTCCTTCCTTTGCCCTCCACCCTGCTGGTCCTGCTCCCTTGACAGGGATTCCCATTTTCCTCTCCCTCTCTTGATAGACTGGAGACCTTTCAACCTATTGAGCTTGAGTAGGATCAGGGGCAGAGAAGCAGATCAGGGTGGTGAGGGAATGAGTGCCTATGCTCTGTTATTACTATTGGAAAAGTCTCTCAGTAAGAAGTTCCAGGCTATCAATCAGACCAGGGACCAGGTTCTAGAAAAAATAAATATCAGAACTTAAATTATGTTCCTGGACACTATGTCAGGATGGCTTTAGCCAAATTAAACCCAGACTTAACTAGATTAAACAGTAAGAATGAGTTTTTTCGGGATTAGTTAGTTCAATGATTCATGACATCCTCCAGGACTTACTATGAGAGGTGAGGCTATTGGAAGAGTGGGTGGGAAACATTTACTAGAGCTGTTTTGTAGGAGGAAGAAAAGTGATGTGATCAATTGTGAACAGTTTGGGTTTGAGAAGATGATGGTACAGCCAGGAGATGGCATCAGACAGGCAGGACTGGTGTTAGCTTTGTCCTCTTTTATCTCTCTCTCTCGTGGTCACAAAATGCCACCATTCCAGACCTCACAGCAAGCACGACAATTTCCAGGTAAATAAGAAGCATTGTTGGTCTTCCTCAGGTCTTATTTTAAAACTGAGGACATCTTCTCAGAAATCCTTCCAGACACTTCCTTTCATGTCTCACTGGCCGGAAGGGGCTCATGTTGCCCTCTAGAGTGGGATGTGGGGAGAACATGGCCATCTTGGGGTTGGACTCATCAAGAATTGCTCTTCAAGAGATGCCTCTTGGGGAGTCCGATAGCAGCGCCTGCCCCAGAGCCAATCA